ACCGGTCGACCGGACAGGTCGACCGGTCAGCCTGCAATCTGGTCAACCGCATAGGTCGACCGGTTTCCATGTGATCCGGTCGACCGCACTGGTCGACCAGTGGAATCAGCTGCGCGAGAGAAGCTCGCGAAAATCAATTCAAAACCTGCAAATCCAGTCCCAAATCGAGATTTTTCAAAGGGAAACCACTAGATCTGGGTTCTAGGTCCTAAAACAAGTCCAAAGAACCCAAGATCTCAAATTTCTACTATAGTTTTACTCAAAAACCATCAAAATCCGGTTTGAACCAAAAATGGGTTTTGAAATCCGAAAACGTAAGATTCAAGAGAGGTTCTTTCAGTAATCTTACCTCGAATTCTTCTCTTGACGTTGAAAACTTCTTTAAATCTTTGCTTGGTTCAAGATCTGTTTGATTTGGGACAAAAATGAGAGAGAGAGAGAGAGAGAGAGAGAGAGAGAGTGAGAGTGAGAGAGAGCACGGGAGGGTGAGAGAGAGAGTGAGGGAGAGAGACGCACGGGGAAGGAAGAGAAAAAGAAAAGAAAAGGAAAAGGAAAAAGAAAAGAAAAGGAAAAAGGAAAGGAAAAGGGCATGTGTACAATATTTTAAAAGAACAGTCCAGAAATGCGCCCATACACACTTCTGGGTTAAAATAAATTACTGAGAATAATTTAAATACCTTTGAACTATTTAAACTCACGCGTGTCAGAAACATTTATTAATTAAACTCAATTAATAATCTAGACTAGGCACACTAATAATCTTAATTACTTTAATTAATCTCAATTAATTCTTCAGGGTGTTACAAGTTGGCTAGCGGCTGGTCGTCAGTTTCTTGGCGCGTCTCTCTCTTGCTGACTGCTGGATTAGTGGCAGACCCGTTCTTGTTGTTCGTTATGTCTATCACGGGGGAGTTTCTGAATTTGTAGCCACAGGCCCCACGGTGGGCACAAACTATAGATGGTGATTTCTACAATTGAATTTGTATAAGGCCAATGACCGAATCTAGACCAATCAAAGAATTAGTATCGCGTAACAGATAATAAATGGGGGAAAAAGTAAATAAAAGACAGAGACACAAGAGATTTATAGTGGTTCTCTTGATAACCAATGGTACTTTCACTGTAGGGTCTTCGATGCGCTTCCACTATAACTGATGAAAATTACAATGCTTGTAGAGAGAAAAGCAGGAAGAGAGAATAGGGGAAGTGAGGAGAATAATAGAGAAAACAAGAGAAAATAAGCCTAGAACTCTGTTAAATATGCTCCGGGATGCCTTGGAATGCGTATAAGAGTCTCATAATACAGTTTGGAGGCTAGGGCTTCAGTATAAGCGTTGATGATCCCTTATGAATGTGAATGAGGCCTCTGTTTCTAGGCTTGGTGACTAAATCTCTGTAGGATAAGATCTACTATTTAAATTCTGATAGGAGATACTCTGTAGATAAGCATGAAATTTGAATATTTAAATTAGGATTGAAATAATCCCTTTTTTAGAAGAGATATCTTCGTTTAAATGAGATTCCCTGAGATTTAGGGTGATAATCTCGTGCATAATTTGATCCTTATCTGGTAACTTAAGCGCCAAGTTACACAGGCAATTTGGGCCGTGGATGAGTTGTTAGTCCGTCGGGTCGTGACCCGCGAGTTGTCCGAAGCTCGCGGCTTGATTCAGATGTGCTGGAGTCATTCTTCTAGGTAATTCCTTGATATGAGAAGTCATGGATTCGATAAATGACTAGTTGTCTGCTGGAGACTCGTCTGACAACCTATTGGGCCGGCGAGCTGTCAGAAGCTCTCATTCTTGAAGAAACACTATGACACGTGTATGGTGATAAATGATGTACGAAATTTGACCCCAACGAACACCATTCCCTCAAATATTTTCTAACGACGGTCCTCCCAATTTTGTTGTTTACCAATCTTAGACACTGCTTCAAAAGAAAAAAAAAAGAAAAGAAAGAAAGAGAAAAAACTATTTGTAAAATGCACAGGATACGAGCGGCAAATCCGAAAACATAGAGTCGAACGCAACACGTCGCAACAACATGAGGCAAGTTTTTGACATTACCCTTTACAAATTAAACCATGGTACCCAATGTAAGTTGCAGCAACTTCGGTTCAAGGTCGACTTAAAAAGAAAGAAAAGAAACAAATAAACAAAGAATGAAAAAAATGCTTCAAGTTTGGAATGAATTTTTGTACCCCAGATTTTCTGCACAAAATGATTTTATTTATTTATATAACAAGAGTACAAAATCTATCTTCAGACGCAACACATAAAAAACCAGAGAAGCACTAAGACGAAAAGGCCAATTTGATGCCCAAGAATTATGGGGAAAAAGTATAGTTATAATGTAAAGGTTCAGGTGGCTAAAAGGCTCTTGGGGTGTGCGTGAGCTCCAAAACCCAAAAACATTTGAGACTGCTTCCCAACAAACAAAAGAAACTTGCACTGAGAAGCTCAGATAATTAGGCACGCCATCAAGGTCATCCATTCGTCTTCTTGCATTGCTAATAAATCAATTCTCTACATCCAAATTTGTTGTGCATTTTTATTCATATTCAGCCAACATGACAAGAACCATGGACCTGAACCCAAATGCAAAATCAACTAAAGAAGAAAAAAAATGGTGGATCTGGAAATAGGGATATCTAGAGAATGATTATTCACAAGGATAGGTCTAACGAAAAGAGAAACGCATGCATCGCCACCACGTATGAAAAATGAGAAATACTTCGAATTTATAGTTCATATTGAAAGGCCTTCCAACTTAAAAGAGAAGATAATAAACCAACATAACACATGGAAAAGCCATCGTTTTCTCCCTTCCCATAACCCTGGCCCTTGCTTTCATAACATGTGCACAAGCGCGCACGAACACAATGCGAGTTCGGTGTGAGTCATTCACGTGAGAGCTTACCTAAGCTGTGTTAGGCAAAATATTGTTTGCAAGAACTTCGTCAATGGATACAGGAAGCTCAGGCATTCGGCTCATTATGCCAGGCATATTTCTCATGCTGCAACAACAGAGCATTTTTATAATTTTTTTGTTAAAAAAAAAAGAAATCTAGCAAAATATGTAATATATTTAAAAAAATTAAGATCATTTGCATACTCATTCAAGATAGCACTTATGTTGTTCCTCGTTTGACAAAAGAGGTCAATGTTTTCCTGTAACTGTTTGATGAAGCAAAACAATATAAGAAGAGCCACTGAGAATGACAAATCTTGCATTTACAATAAGATTGAAGAATAAGAAGTTGACTTTGAAGAAGACAAATAGAGAGAATAAATTAGATTGATTTTTATTTGATTTCCCTTTCTTGTGTATGATTTTATGCATTTATTTAGTTTCCAATTTTGGTTTTGTAATTAACCTATAAATTGGCTACACTATTATGGACAAGGCAGACTATGATTTGATTATTGAAAGAATTTCTCTTCACTTTTCCCTTTTCTCTTCCTAGTTCTGCATCAATTCGTATCAGAGACACCTCGATTCTTCTGACCTTACTTTGTTACAAATTATTGATTAGGATTGATTTTTATTTGATTTCCCTTATTTGTGTATGATTTTAATGCATTTAATTAGTTCCCAGTTTTGGTTTTGTAATTAGCCTAAACTTAGCTATACTATTATAGACAGACTAGACTATGATTGAATATTGAATTGAATTCTCAGCTTGCTTCTCCCCCTTGATTTCTCCTTCTTCGTCCCTCTCTATCTCAAATTCCTTTCTAAATTCATAATTTCTCTTCTAGTTCTCTCCCCTTCTCTCTAAATTCCCCTCTACCTTCTCACTTCCCCCACTAGATCTACATCAAAAAGAGCCTTCAACATCTTTAGCAAAATGGTAATTACCTTGTACGTAGACAAATTAGCTGTAATTTGATTATAAGTTTGCGCATTTTGTTCCAAGAGATGCTTGGCTGTACCACTTACTCCTGAAACAATGAAAGAAGAAATACCTCAAAACAACAAGAAGTGGAACCCAGAGACGAATATGGAAAAGGGAAAAGAAGAAAGATAGTGTAACTACAATATTTAAAATAAAATAAAAAAATTGAGCCTCATTTTTTTTTTTTTTTTTTTTTTCCCTCTCTTTAAATCCATGAAAAGATATCAGTACATTCTAAAGCACTAGTACATAATTTGCTTGTGCAACATAATATCTCATTGGAAAGTGAACTTTCATACTTTAAAGATTAGATGCATTTTATTGTATGATTAATTGACTGAACTTCTGAAGTGTGAATGAACTGTGTTCCAGATTAACATAAAGAGAGCACAGAGATTAGCAACTTCGTGTTGTAAAACCACGAACCAAGTATAGGGAACAATATCGAAATTTTTGTTCAGTAAAAGAAACGGGCAGATGGTTCGCTCATTTCATATCCATGCTGGACATAATCTCAAGATATCTTTTGATAACACATTCCTATTTGTCAAACGATGGTCAAATAGAGAATAATAACTATTCTTACATAGCCAATCAACTTCAATTTTGAATAAAGGAAAGTCTTTTATAATTTAAAAAGGAAAAAAAAGAAAGAGAAAAAGAAAATAGCATACATTTTACTAGGTATCACACTGTTTCTAACGAGGAACTTCCGCAATATAACTTTTCCAATTCACTCTTTTTACTGAAAAAGTAATCATATTTTTATTTATTTTTTCTACAATGTGACACAAACCAAGAAGGGATACATTTGGATCCACACTAATCAGTTCAGGCTTCATAAAAAGCCAATAAGCAAATACTAGAAAAACCAAACACAACTAGGAATAAGAATGTGTGTGTGTGTGTGTGTGAGAGAGAGAGAGAGAGAGAGAGAGAGAGAGAGAGCCCAGTTGGAACACAAAAAAGGAATAAAAAATTGAATATTTGCATATTTATATATGTATCGCACACGTGGGCGCACGCACACACACCATATAGAGAAAAGACATCCATAACAACGGCGACTGCTGCTAACCTTCGAAAGGCATGCATTTGTTCTGGTCCATATGATTCATTATAAAAGGATATCCAGCCACGTCTAAGGGAGGAAATGAAGTTACATTTATCTTTGAAGATGACTCCATTAGCTTATCCTGAAGAAACATGATCTTTAGAATACTGGTTCTTCAATCAACAATAGATCCTAAAGAGATTAATCTATTCAATAAATTAAAATAGGAATTCCATCTATGGTCTTTAGACCCAGGTAATTGATTTGGAAATAAACTTGTCCTCCGTTGAGCAACAATGCAAAAGATAATTGTAAACGAGTACTTTTTTTACATATATAAGAAACGAAAAACTTTTATTAAAAAGCAAAGAAAATGAGAAAAACACACAACAGTGGATAAGTAGTCCACCAACAACTCAAAACAGAAAACAAAACCAGGGGCCTTTATCTAGGATCGTAAACGAATACTTTTCATGATGATGTTATTCTTGTTAAGACCTTCATTTTGCTAGGGACACCAACTCTAATCCTAACTATTTTGTACCAACTTACGTGGCATGTGAGTTGTCATCTTTTCATTGGTGCAAAATAGTCGGGAAGACCTACCAGTGAAAAGATGATAACTCTATGCCATGTAAGTTGGTGCAAAATAGTCAGGAAGAGTTGGTGTCCCTAGCACGACTCCGCAATTAATCCAAATTTCTTCGAGAACCAAAAGGAATTAAGATCAATAGTAGCCATTAGCATCGAAAGAACATGCACTTACTATCTTAAAATTTTAGTATGCCGACCATATATTTTGATAGCAAATTGATCTCCATCGGTTCTTCAAGGGTTTCTAACAATCATTAAAGATGACTACACTTAGATTACTACACGTATCTATGTGTGCGGTTCCATCTCTGCCCTCTTTTTTCTTTGAGGTTTCTTCCTCCAACTGGTTTTCAACATGAGAAGCTGCTCCTGATGCTTCAATCGCATCAATTTTTCCCCCAAGGTTATTTAATAGCTTCAGACATAAAATTTGGTTTGTGATGCCTAATTATCACTTTGAACAAGATAGAATTATTTTCAGTGAGATGACTTCTTTCTTTATACTTTGTTCAGAACGCTTGGAAGCTGATTTATCAGGTTTGTGTATCATTTCAGTCACAAACCTATGCACAGAATCTAATTCCAGTTGTCACTTTCAGTTCTCTTCTCATCAAAGTGATTCAGGGGTTATTTCCATCATATTGCCTGGTTGTTTCTTCACAATGTTTTATATTCTTTTTGTCTATTCTAATTCTTTAGGATGTGGCCTGGGATTTCCGCTCATCGATCTGTCTTGTTAACTCACACATTAAGCTCTTCTGAGGGCCAGTTTAGCTTCATACCTGTTTGAGCTGTTAGTTGTTATTAACTTTCTTATCGTTTTAGTGGATCTGTAAGCTGTTTTGGGAAGAGAACTCTAGGTTTCCCTACTCTCATGGAACCTTATGATTTTTTCCCACCCAATAGCTGTGCTGAAACTTATTGAAGATCACAAAATAATATGACTCAATGTTACACGCTAGCCAAAAGTTCGATTGAACTAAATTCCTTCCTTTCCTTATGTCCAAACTTCATAGGAAATACATAAACCTCCACAGGATAATCAAATCATAAACAACATATCTTAATAAAAAAACTAATAATCTGATTTTAAGATATCAAGAATGTCTTAAACAAGAAATCTTTCCTTATAAGCCCCATTAAATTCCTTTTGAGATATCATAGGAACTCATACCGTTAGACTGTCATGAACATGCAGCTCTTCAATATAAAAGTTGATGCAGGTGGCAATGGAGTCTATTTTATGGATTCTAGCAAATTATTAATGGGTTGCCAGATGGGGGAATCCGAGACATTTAGGCCATTGAGAAGTTACTAACGGCAAAAAAGACACTTGAAGATTAAGTTTCAAATTCTTCACAATGCTTAGAGGAAATAACAATTAGGGTAGTATGGGGTTTGCTTTGGTGTAAAAGATCAAATATGTTATTCTCAGGCCATGAACAGTTCTTATGAAGAAGTAGCTAACCAAAATATGACTCATTTGCATGTGTTAATTCTTTCTATCTCTACGCTTTTAGCAATCAACTCACCACTGATTCGATATTTTCCTTTGCATGTTTCTTCCAAGACTAACCTTCTTTAAACTAACTGGAATAATGCATGATCAGGGAAAAAATATTCATATTTTTAGACATCACAACCAGAATTTTGCTCAGGAGTACCGTGGATTAGCACTCATCACCTAGTCTAAGGACATTATACCTAACTTGTTCTCCATTACATCATCGGTCCAAACATATACAGGCTTCTGATAAGAATTTATGAACGGTAAAACTACAAAGTACAAACTTGAGTAAAATTGCAAAGCAAAGAAATTTTTACAAGTCATCCATGTTTAAAGAAACTGTAATTACAGAAATACCTCTCGACTCCTGACACTTAAGAAACATATAAAAGTAATCCCCCCTTTTTAATAAGAAACTTCCTTTTATTTGGTTTTATAATTACATACAAGGAAAGAGGATGACAAAAAAGTAAGCCCTAACAAGCCCGGTTTTGTAATTTGGTCTCATGTCAATATCCCCCTAGTTTTAGATGAACATATGCTTGAGAATTGTTGCTTGTTGACACATTCTTTCAAAATTAGAAGTTCAGTTTAATGAATTGTGAAGACTTGAAGCCGACATGAATAAAACCTTAATCTCAACAGAGCTACAACCAAATCTAGTAAACCAGAACAGTTTTTTTTTTTTTGACCTCTAAAAAACTACAATGGAAAAAATTCCCACGTTTATAACTTTTTGATCAAATCACAGCTAAATTGGCAGGTAAGATATTCAATGACAAAAGCAGAATATCAACAAATGTCTAGTACAGAAACAACAACAGTCTAATTGGAGTTTTAAGGATGAAATGCTACAAAGTGTAAAAGGACCCGTCATCAAAATTTTCCTTCAACGAAAAAGAACAAAAACACTGCATTGGAATAGGGCAACGAGCCAAATTAACTGCAAACCATGTGCATCGAACATCGATAACAAAAATTTTCTTCTGATGAAAAAAAAGGGACTTTCAGACCTTTTCTGCCACAGAGTGTTCAGTGCTTTCTCATTATTGAAATATCTTGAAGGTGACCGAGACATGTATTGGTATATAATCTAGGTGACCGCAAGTGTTGAATTTAGGCAAACTGCCTTCAAGATTTATAGTATTACTATCCACTTAAGGGCTCAGTAGATTACTTAATGGTAACTAAATAACATTAAAAAAATTAAAATAACCAAAAGCATACCTTTCTATTGTGCACTTTCTTCCCCAAAATAATCTCTTCCGGTTTCCTCCGCTTTCTCTGAAACATTTTCAAAAGGTATATTAAACACAAAACAAATAACATATCTAAATTCAAAGAGAAATCGAAAGGACAAGATTCTCATAAGTACAGAACCGTTATAAAAAATGACATCCCAAAAAAATTAATAATAATTAAAGTGAAAAAAAAAAAAAAAGTCTGAGTATGAGGTTTCAGAGCACCAAGAAAATATTCTCCGTGCCTAAACATTTCCATATGTCATGCCAAATAAGTATGTGGATCGGAAAATCCCATAATTATCTTGTTCTTTCGAAATACGAGAAATAGCACTTTTGCCACTCTTATTATGCAAATATAATAAAAATATTCCCAATGCTTTTGAAAACAATACAAAAAAAGTTACTCCTTGACTGGTTAAATTTTGCAAAACAGCAAGACGACCCTTACTTATCTATCTTTTCAACTAATTTTAATACTAAGTACTGAAAAAATAAATAAAATATTTTCAAAATACAAATAAATAAATTAAAATATACTTCGACGAGTAGGAAGGGGGTTGGATGGGGATGCAGCGCCAGCAAAGGGTGCTCACCAGTGGCTTGTTCAGCAGAGAAGAACAGGTGTGGACATGGATGAGGAGGCCTAATTTGGGAAAATATATCTTTTTAAGAATTTTCAGTATTTTTAGTTTTAAAAAAAATTCTTTTGTTTACCTTTGTAATTAGTTATAGCTTTTCAAGATAATATTTAATATACATCAATAAGGACAATTTTGGTATTTTAAACAATTTGACCGGCCAAGGGGTTTGGTTCTTCTTTTATTTTTTATTTTTTTAACACGGAAATTTTTTATATTCATATAATAAGAGAAACAAAAGTTGTTTTTCAAAGAAACATATGGGATATTTATGGGATTTTTCTTAAGCGGATTTTATCCACCAAATATATATAATGTTCCTAAGAACTTAAAACCAACCCAAAAGCAAAGCTTTTTTACCAAAGATTCTAACATTACCATAGCACATCCAACTATATAGAAAATACAAAACGAGAACAATCATATAGGCAATATGAAACATTAATTTATAACCAAAAAATTTCACGTCGCCAGCGCCAAACAGCCTGCCAACAAAATCCAATTCTGTTGACAGTTGGAGTTCCATGGAAGTTCTTCATTTCAAAAGAACCTTTCCTCAACCCAGACAATTTTAAAGAATTGGCCTTTATCTTGATTAACTGATTGTTGATGGAGAAATGAAAGAAAGGTTTCCATACCAAGACTTCCAAATCTTGAAAAGCTCTATTGAACTGAACATGTCAATGAACTACCTGCTAAGCTAATTGAACTAATGTACTATATAAACACTGTTCGACAAATTTAGAGGCCCTAATATGACATGGTAGCTCATCACCAAAGGCCAAGTTCAAGCCACATACTAGGGGTAAAAACGTCATCGTTTGCCCATCATCCACCATAGCACTATGTTTTGTACAATGTATCAGGGAAAGGACGGATACGGATCATAGGTAAAAGAACCACTTGATGCTCACCATTTAATGTATCTCAATTCAAAGGGCCGTCTTTGCAAGGAAATATGATAATCAAGGGGAAGAAAATTAATATGAGGGATGTTAAGATGGACCAGGTAGTTCGAGAAAAAGAAAAGAAAAAGGTAAAATAAATAAAAATAAGAGGCGGCAGGTAGAGACTAGAGAGAGCATATCTGTTTTAAGAATCCAGATAGTGGACATGCAAACAAAACTAGAATATGAATTTTGAGTGAAAGAGAGAATTAATTCTTGCAAGAGAGAGAGAGAGAGAGAGAGAGAGACAGAGTTTGTATACATCTTATACAAACTTAAATTCAATAACTTCAATTAGAGTACCTAGATATGCCAAAGCTCAATTGAAGGCAGCTTCCACAGAAAAATGATCTTAGCTATGGAAAATCCTTCCATTTACTAAGAATCTAAGATACTTTACTGCGGAGCCCTTTTCACACCTAATTAACTTCAATCTTAATTTTAAAAGAAAAACAATTGTCCTAGACACCTAAATCCTACGAGAAAAATAACAAGTATGTTTAATTATCTAAGATCTAATCAGATTCAACAGATAAGTTGCGCGTTGGATTTCTTTTTCTTAACAGTTCTCTTCTTTCAAAATAAATTTCAAATAATGAGTTTGTTACCGCCAAACAAAAGAGGAAAATTCTCATAGGTAAGTTCAGCTAGTGTTGAGATTTGGTCTTCAAAGAAACCATCAATGACTCTGTCATATTGACCGAACAATAGTAAATATTTATCAATGTCACATATGGTAAAATTGAAATACACAACACACACACACACACAATTAAAAAGGATGCACCCTGAACATTAGAGAAAATCAATTCCATCACACAGAAAGATACAATGGCTCTCCACCATAATAAATGAAACCATTAGACTGCAAGCATCACACTTTAGCACCGCAGAGAAGACCAAACAACACAAAGCACCCAATACATGATTTAGACGTTCTGATGCATTTAAAGCAAGTAAAAACATTATTAAAAAAGAGTCGAGACCCTACCATCATCCACCTACACCTCAAAGCAACATCACGGACAGTTTTTTCACGCAACAAGGCTGCAATCTTGATGTACCTCATTATGCTCGGTTCATTACCATATCTACAGTAAACAGAGCAAAACCAGCATATGAATATCAAACTTTGGAACACAAAACAATTGAAATGTAACACGCTAAGAAAACAATAAGCAACATAAACTAGACAACCAGGTACAAATTATGGGACATGTAACAAAGATTCTGAACAGTAATTCTTAAAAAAGGAGCAAACAATGTAGCAGACCATGAAGATACAAGAAACTAAGAAGCTTGCAAAATAATGGGAAGGTATAATAGGTGGCATAACATTTAAAAGTTTGAACCAGACTTAAAAAGGATCACTTCAATCCTTGAACTTCTTAAAGTACATGAATTATCCATACATCATGACGATTGAATGTGTAAACAAGTAAATTGACGTCCAAAAGCTCCTTAAGTTTTATTTTTCTTTTTCTGAAACATCATGTCTGCTGTGATGACATTTTCAATATAGTATGTGTGATAATTATGGGATTTGAAAGTCTCTAATCATTTAGGACTATAATCTATTTAGCTATTTTATTAGATTTTGAATTTTAATTTCACACTTTTGGCAGTCTTTTGTTCAATTCATCATTTCATTACCCGACTATTTTTCCTACATCACAGTTCTAACAGTGACAATCTAGCACCACTAAGCAGCAAGAATCAGATAATAACAAACAAGCAACTGTACAGAATTATAGTTTTGATAAGAAATATTCAAAATTGAATATAAATTTTAAATGAACAAATATATACATATACATATATATATATATATATATATGTATGTATGTATGTATAAGAACGCGTTTCTGAATGACCTACTCGACAAGGCCTCTCTCCAATTTGTGCTGTTCTTCGACGGACCACTCAACAGCCAAGCCCACATCATGCTTAAGCCCCGGAACCGAATCGAGCAGAAGAGAACCACCACCACCACCACCACCACCAATCACCGGATTGTTCCCAATGATGGCCGAATTATTACTATGTCCAGAGAACATACTGCTATTCACGCCAAAGTAATTACCAAACGGAAGCATCTCCGACGTGCTGTTTATGGCGCCGGACTGGAACGAAATCGCGTGCCGATTCAGCGCGGAGCTCAACGTTTCCTCGAAGTGAAACCCTGTGTTAGACTCAGTCGCCATTCTTTCTCCTCCGACAAAAAACCATAACCTACCCAAAACAATAATCGCCTCCAAAACACGAAATCTCTTCAATCAATCTACTTCTCCGAACTCCGAAACCAAAAACCTCAGTTTCACAAGAACCGTAGATTTCCACGGCTCAAAACAACGACGAAAACAAGAAGAATCACAACATCGCTCCTCTAAAAACCAACCAAAAAGTGCTCAGAAAACCCCGAATTCCACCCTAAGCCGCCAAAAATCCAGCAAAAATTCCAAAAATCTTCAAGCTTCGAGCCATTCCATCCTCGTCCGAACCACCTCCATCGCAGAAAACAAAAACCAAGAAGAATCTCCAAATGGCAGAGAAAACCAGACCCTATACGCACCAAAAACGGGTTTCTTTCGCTAGTGGAAGAGAGAGAAAGTAGAGAGAGAAAGAGAAAAAAAATACAAAAAAAAGAAGCATAAACAGAGCGTTACCTTTTTTCTCTGTGTGCTTAACTTTCCGACGAAGCCCTAATTGGCTGCGTCTTTTAAATCTTTTCCCTTTTTTATATTTTCTTCTTCTTCTTCTTCTTCTTTTATAAATGTCGAGCTCACTCTGATGTGTGTGGACTCAAGTGGTACAGATTGTGTTTTTGTTTATCACTCACCATCTCTTTCTCTCTCTAAAAAAGAGGAGAGAGACAAACAGATAGCTTAGAACTGAGTTGAGAGCTCCGCCAATGGGGAAGCAGAGAAGGGGAATTGAGAAAAAAGGTGAAGAAGAGAGTTTTTTTAAATAAATAAATTAATAAATAAAGAATAATTGATGGTTATTGCAGATCTTGGAATTCAGCAACAGTGCGAATCCCCATAAGCATTTGATGCCAATTATTGTGGACTCTCCACCTTTCCTTTTGGCTTTGCCTTTTTTTTTTTTTTTTTCCTTTTTTTATTTATTTTTGGCTCTTACTTTTTCGTATATTATATATTATTATATTATTATTGTTTGTAAATTCTGATTCGCACTCGGCTTGTAGGCTTACCGGAAGGCAGAGGAGAAGATAACACAGGAACAACAATCTGAGAGGGCTGAAAGTGAAATGGTGTTTTTTTGAGGATTTCTTGCTCAAGAAGAAAATTGACGGAGAGAGTCAATTAGTGATGTAGATCGTGCTTTGAGAAAATTATAACTAAAAAATGGGTTTTCAAGAACTGGTATTAAAATGGACGGTTGCAAAATTTCCTGAAAATGAACGAATTGTCCCATTACGGATATCACTTTTCTCAAATCAACGTTGAATGTTATGGACTTTTCTTTTTTCAGGTCGTGTTTGGCAGCTTGTAGTGTATTGTATAAGGTGTAATGTATTATCATAATATAATACGATATTTAGTGTCATGATGTATTGTATAAGAGATCAAAATGTAAAATTTTAAAAATTTTGATGTCAAAATGTCATTTTTTTGAAAATTAAATGTAATTTTAAAAAATATAAATTTGTATTATGCCCCTCAATTTTAAACAATTACAGGCTCTGACATGACTTCGCGTCGGCCCGACCTCGACATGAATCATAAATCCGCTATAGAATAATATAATACAATACGCTAAAATAAATCGTGTTTAATAATATGACATAAACTGTATTAATTTATCATTCGTATATTAGTTTATACAATATGATAATCGCACACTAAATATTATATTAATATATTATTATATAATACGGTGCTTTAATAGATCAAACAAACATGCCTTAACTTTTGAACCTTGACCTATGTAATTTGTCATATTTTAAACTCCGAGCTTTGAAACGTTACAAATCACACTTTCAAATTATGCAAGTTGTCCCACTTCCATTTCCATAACCATTACATGATTACTTAATAAAAGTATTTTAGAAAAATCGTATTTAACAGTTCAACCATTTATCTTTTTCAATTAAATTCTAAAATCACTACTAATATTTAAGAACCATTTACGGTCATTTTCCTCTACCTTGTTTATGAGTTTTTTTTTTTTTTTTTTTTTTCCATTTTAATCAAAAGAATCACAATCCCAATATGACAGCTTCACAAGTAAAAGAGATCATAACCTCAATATTATACAAGTTGTTAATTTGAGTATAAATTTTCATCTATCTATAATAAAAATAAAAATAAAAACTACGAAAAAAAGAGTAGTAAAACTATATATTGGAAAAACAAAATTTAGGGGGTTTTCCTCTAAAATATATGTTGAAAACAGATGGCCGGTGTGTCAAAATGATCACTTGCCTCATTCTGTCAAAGTTTATGAATTTAATAGTTTTGGTGACAATCGCCAAAACGAGACAGATTGCATATTTTAGGGGTGTCGTTTGTAATGTTTTAAAGTTTAAGGGAAAGTTGCATAGTTTAAGGGCCAAAATGAAATTAATCCTATCAGAAAAATGAAACTTTTAAGCTCTATTTAGTAGGAGGGATGGAAAAAAAAAAAAAAAAGAGAAAACTAAAATACCAAGATAAAGAAAATGAAAAGGTAAAAAGGGGATTTTCTTTTCTATTGTTTGGTAAAAAATAAAGAAAAATAAAAAAAATGTCTGATCTAGTTTATTTTACAATAATATTCTTATACGAACAAAAAGATGACGAATAATCGTGAAAATAGTTATACATCATACTTGTTTGTCAATTTATTTTCTCTCATTTTTCTTTTTAAAGTTAAAGGGATTGTAAAATGGTGGGACAGATGGAACAACTTAAGATTATATTTTCTTCTCCAAAATACGTATAATTTATTTTCTCTTCCTTTTACACTCTACCAAACATAGGTAGTTTGGCATTGTTGTACTATTAAAAGTTTTTAATTATTGTTGTTGTGTTATTGGTCAAAAGTTATTGTGACTATAAGCATATATGTGTTTGGTATTTTTTTAAACAAAAAATTATTGTGAACACGAGATCAAGAAATTTAAGTATTTAGCAAATTATGCACAAAATTATTGTAAGAATGTATAATGATTAAAATAGACATACTTTAATACACATATTTATAATTAGTTTTATTCTTATTTTTAAACCCATTATCCATATTTTTTACACCAAAACAATAAAATATATAAAACTAATTTTATTATTTGATATTTTTAAAAAATAAATTACTAAATTTTTTTTTCACTGTTACTATTTTTAAACATTTTCAGTACTAAAAACATTTGATGTAAAATTTGATATAGTATGTGTATAAAAAAATTTCAATTTTTAAATAAGAATAATACCCAAAACATTTTACGTGTTATGTTTAAATATTATTTTTGTCTCTTTTATTATGCGAATATTCAAAATTCTGTGTTTATAAAATTATACTCAAAAGATTCTCAAAATTATTATCTTCAAGTAAGTTGTATAAAATTTATTTGGAGAAGAAATGTTAAATAGTAAACATTCAGATATAATATCAAAAGTGAAATATTTCTAAAGCTCGAGGCCATAGTGGGATATCTAAAAATTTAAAGAACAAAGTGAGATATTTACGCTAAAGTTAATCCTTAATTAATATTACCAAGTTACCCTCATTAAAACTATCACATAGGCCTCATATGTTCATTCTGTTCATCTTACGGTTTCGTCAATGAGAGACTAAAAATACAATATGTATTAAATTTAGGGGGCTCGTAGTTAGACATTTGAAATTTAAGGAATAAAGTAAGATTAGCCCAAATTTCAAAATAAAAATTGAAAAGCCAAAAAAAAAAAAAAGAATGTTGAACTTAATTATCTATTTAATCTATCTAAATTTACGAAATGGTTAATCTCACAAATGATCTTTGAAGTTTACTCACCGTTCTATTTTACTTCCTGACTCTTAAAACGTTTGACAATCGATCCCTAAAGTTTTGTTTTAGTTTTGATCTTTTCGTTTGCTAAATGTTAAATACTTAAATGAAAATGTGAAAATTAATTACTAAAATTAAAAACATATAAAATTTAGTGACTTTATAAAAAACACAAAATTTAATTTTCTGATACAGTGTCTTAATTTTAATTATTTTTTCAATTTTAGTCTTTAATTTATATAAATTCAGTTAAATATTTAATATTTAGTTAACAGAATAACTGAGTACAATTTTAAGGGTCAACTGTAAAACATTTTAAATGTTAAAGATTAAAGTGTGATTGAGAATAATTTTAAAAGATAGGAATTAATCCAATAATAAAGACACAAATACGATTCAAGCCCGTTTGTTCCATATATTTAGCCTCGTTTGTTTCACAAATTTGAGTTTTTAATTCAAGTTGAGATGCGGTATTTTCTAAGAATTTTTAACTGTAGCAGAAAAATTTAAATATAATATTTTTTTTATAAATTTTAACTATAAAAATTTAAAATTAAAAATTCAAATCGATAAAATAAAAGAGATCTTAAACCTCAATTATTAATTATGCTATAATGTTTTTTTTCCCTTAAAAAAAATTTCCAAGTCAAAAAGTTTGGCGGGGCACCCACATAATCGACTCACGTGCCTTTTGCGTGGTCGGTATCATACACGATTCGCAAACTGTGACGGTCTCTCTCTTCTATTTCTCTCTCTAAGGTCGAATTAGTTATAAGGTATTTAGGTAATATTAACTGTAAGAAATATTTCCCTTTTCGATGTGGTACTAGGGTTCCCTTCTTCTTCGATTTCGCTGCTTCTTGTCTAAGAATCTGGTAAAGTTGTCGTCTTTGATCTCGGAATAATACTTTCCGTTCACGCCCAAATCGGAAGAATCGAGGGTAGCGTTCTGCTGAGTTTCAAAGAAACCCCCGAGGAAGTAACGCCACCTTCGATTGCTCTCATTCTGGTCCCTGCGTTCCTTCGATTGCCTCTATTCCGAAAAGGTCTCTCTCTTTCTCTGTTTTTATCGAAACTTTCGATATCTTTTTTTTTTTTTTGGGTGTGAAATCTAACAAAATTATTTCATATTTGAATCCTTTGTAACCGTTTTATTATAACCTTTGTGGTGGTTTTTCTGTCTGTCGAATCAATTTTGTCTTCTCTTCTGCCTGCCTATGGAAAATATTATATGCTACTTTACCTTTCAATCGACGAGTTCAACGAACCTCCCATCTTGAAAGTTGTGTTTAACTCTTGTTTGATATCTCCGATCTCCCATGATTGGAAGTTGATTCTGTGCGGTTCTAATTGGATCCTCTCGGTTTGAGTCTCATCTCATGGATTTTCAAGTGTGTGTTTATATATTTTTATCGTCGCTTTGTTCATATTGTGCTTTATTTTAAGAATATGTTTTGACATTCAGAAGTAAATTTGTTTATGTAAATTTGTTTTTTGTTTGGATAATTCAATTAGAGTAGGTACTACTTTGCATAATTTGATTGTTTTAGAATGATGTATTGATTATCTTCCCGTTACTTTAGAAAGTAGTGAAGTTCTACAATTTCTTTTATGTTTTCCTGACTAATATCTATACTATTATAGTATAGTAGTGTCGATACTGACCTGAATATGTTATAAATCAAGTATTTGTATTAAGCATTGTGTGAATGGTTTTTGATGATGTGTATAGATTACGATTATTTTTCTCTTTCTTTGTTTGGTAACTAGATTTGGTTGGAGCTTCTTTTGTAATCCATATGTATTCCCACTATATGGCATTTTTTCTTGAAGTATCTTTGAGTTTATCCTTGTTGATCTGGGTTTTTCTTCAGTTAGTTTCTTCAGGATTTTTGGGAACTCAGGATTATTGTGTTTGGTGTTTGTATAATTCAATGTTGAAAAAGATGAAAAGGGTGAATTGTTGTGAAACGTGAAACAGATAATTACTGAGGACATAATCTAGTAATCTACATCGTGTGAAAGCAAGGAAAAAATAACTTAAAGATAATCAAATCTGAAAAAAAAAATGAGGAAGAAAAGAACAAGAAGAGTTGTGGGAAAAAGTGTAAAAACTAGTGTCCGTAGGCTTTTGTCGATGTTTCTGGAGAATGAGGCATTGGCAACCCCGGGGTTGCGTTGATGCAAATTATACACACACATATTTACAATATATATATATATATATATATATATATATATAGAAACACACACACACACAGGAAAACTAAGGCCTCGTTCATTTCACCGATTCGAGTTTTCAGTTTTAGGTTTTTACAGTAAAAAGCTCTCAGAAAATGTCACATCTAACTTTTTCTACTGCAGTGAAAAGCTCTAAGAAAATGTCATATCTCAGCTCGAATTGAAAACTCAAATTCGCGAAATGAACAAGCCCTAAATGTCTCATTTTTGTAGCGAAAAATAGTGGGATCACGCTTGGCTGTTTTCATTTATGCCGTTTTCTGGTGAAATTCAGATCTTTGCTTCTCGCTATTTTGTCCGTCTTTCGGGTTCAGTTCTTCCTCCTTTCTCTCTTTTGATCCTCGTTTCTTCTTTTTTGGTTTTCAATGTGTTGATGATTCCTTCATGTGGTGTTTTCTGCCAAGTTTCTTTGATTTTGCGTTGAGTTTGATACTTTGTCATTTGATTTGGCCCTTTCCCCCCTTTTTTGTAGTCTTCTAAAGATCAATGCATTGGTATTGAATGAATATGAGTCCCCTTTTTCTCCTGTTCGTTTTTTCAGGTTTTTTTTTTTTTTTTTTTTTTTCCCCTTTTTTCCCTTTTTTTTTTTTAGGTTTTTTTTTTTTTTTTTTTTTTTTTGGGTCTCTGTGATGTTGCTAGATGGAAATGTATTTTACGAGTGAAATTACAAAAGAATCGCACATATATATGATTTTTTTATTTTCTGGTATATTGCAGTTTACTTGTTTATTTCAATAATTTGAGCGAGGATTAGATGGCTTGAAACTTGAACATTTTGGAATTTGTTTTGATAGCGTAGGATGTGCTTTGAATTTTGTTGGTGAAATTCCGGATTTCATTGGCAATGGTGGCTTTTTAAGAGTGCTGTTGTGAAGGTTTAGTCTTGTTATCTATTATAGGTGGTTTTGAACCGGTTCTTGTGCTGAGCTTTTGGTTTTGAAGCTCAGAGAAGTAAATTGATATCTTATCGATTTTTAAGGGGTTGTGAAATTGAAATTCCGAGTTGTATGTGCCCTATATGGTGTTTCCTATGGTAACACCAGAATCTTTGCTTAAAAAGCTTTGCACTTTGTCTTTGGTTGGTGTTAAATTCTTTGGAATATTAGTTGTATTCAGTAAATACTTCCCTATATGTATTTGGTGTGGCCGTGTGGTGTTTGGAAACTCTCTAGATTCGGTATGTAATATAAGTGTTAGAACTTCAGAAACATCATGCTCAAGCATTTTTATATACTTTTCTCCTATTTCCTTTTACTTATTTACTTTTCATTCTAGTAGGTTACTGCTAAAATGTTGGGAAGCGTGCTGGCATTTACAGATGATGCAGTCCTACCTGCCAGTACTGTTCTGAATGCACTCAGGGAGCTTGAGGATGGAGGGGCTGAAAAGTGTGATCCTCTTATTATCACTCAAGTGTCTTTATTAAGTAATTTCCTACCCCTCTCCAATTGATCGTAAATTCTGTTGTTTTCTTTTTCTGGTTGGAAACTTAGATGAAAAGGCTATTTTCTGTGTTGAATGACTGGGGTAGCTTTATTAGGTGATATGATTTCTTGTCCCTGCTATTTACTTTTAATTTTCAATAATTTTTTTTTTTTCATTCTTATAAAAATGAAGTCAACAAAAAGATCAGAAATCATGTTCCCTGCTCCTCCAGATTAAAGATTCTGGTAGTGTTTGACTGTTGAAGGATTTGCAAAATTCATTAGGGCTTGTAATTAAATAACCAATTATGCCAATGTACTTACCATGGTAAAATGAAGGACTGGACAGGTTTTCTTTTGGTATTATGCTGTGTTGAAAAGATTTTAAACAAAATTTTCTGTGTTTTTGGATATTTCCTCCTCAATTCGATTATTTTCTGTCACGTATTAATTAATATCTTTTATTACATTTTATATATTATATGTTTATTATCAATCGTTTCACGTATTATTAATTAATTCTATTTTGTTTTCCTGACTTGGTGTTGGTGATGAATCATAAATTTCCTATATGTAATAAAATCTAAATGTTGGTCGAACACTCTTTTCTTTACATTTTATATATTATATGTTTATTATCAATCGTTTCACGTATTATTAATTAATTCTATTTTGTTTTCCTGACTTGGTGTTGGTGATGAATCATAAATTTCCTATATGTAATAAAATCTAAATGTTGGTTGAACACTCTTTTCTTGTTTGAACATATGAAATCTTTTAGGCAAAGTAAATGATGTTGATTTTCAGTTTCCTCCGAGTGTATTGTATATAATATTAATACAATGTTATGCATGCCTTTTCAGTTTCTAATTTAATAATATCAATAGCAAAACTAGTAGAGTTGGACTCCTAACAATTAGCGAAAGTTTGCTATCTAACAGGATAAAAGTCTCTCTTACATAAGTTAACTAACAGTTTTTTTAGGATTGTGAATCTTGGCTAATAAATTAATCAAGTGAAAAGATCAAAACTGGGACAGTTTGACTGTTGTTTGTTTGAAAACACGGACAGTCAAGTTAATTTTTCAATTTCAGGCCCTGTATATATGATCTTGTGTTTTCGGTCTTTACTGATAACAGGTCGGTTGCCAGTAGAAGATTCCTCTATGGACATTGTTCTCTCTCTGTGTGGATCACATGAATCTCCCAGTGACCAGTTGCTTAAAGAAGTCTCAAGAGTGCTAAAGCCTGGTGGAACAATCCTACTCTACCATTCTCAGTCAGCTACAGTGGACGCAAACAAAGTAATGAAAAATTTGTGCAGCTTATGGCTTGATACCTTTCGACATTGAAAGAAAATTCACATGGGTTTTTCCGTTTTACAGGAAACCTCAGCTCTTGAGCGCAAGTTACTGTTGTCTGGTTTTCTAGAAGCACAATCACTGCAATCTAAATCAATTTTGGGTTCTAATGTGCTGTCACTTATGGTAAGTTGGCAATGTTTACACGTGTCAATGAAACATTTATTATCTACCTTTCAAATAATATTATATTGACGGCCAAAAGATGAAGAAAGAACCCATAGTGGTAATGAGTTGGGAGCCGCAAGAGTTTCCATTTGTCTTCAACAGTATTTTAGGTATCCAAATAATTACTGAAGCAGTGAAGCAAAGCTCTTTTTATGCATACTGTAGGCGTGAGTTATGAACGCGTATTTAACTTAAAAGTCTTCCAATTTCCAGTGGAGATTTTTTGGATGGGATAACTTCAGAGCTAGTATTTTTTTCATCTATACTTTTGACACATCATATATATCTCTTGGTGCCTTTTCCCATGTAAATGGTCTTGTTAGGGGGAGTGATCACATGACCCTCTTACATCCTTGTACTCTATTATGGGGGTCAATGTGTTCCGATTCTTTTGCGCCAGCCAAAATTCACCTGCTCGATAAGTTTGTTCTACTTGTGTTATTTATTGGAAGCTAGATCTTGATTTTTCTTCCCTCTCTCTCCTCTTTCTGTGATCACAGGTCAAAGCTAAGAAGTCTTCTTGGAAGATTGGTTCATCTTTTGCCATTAAGAAGGCTCCAAAAAGTTCACCAGTGGTTCAGATTGATATTGATTCTGATTTAATTGACGAGGATAGCTTATTAACGGAGGAGGATTTGAAGAAACCCCAGCTACCATTGGGTAAGTTCTGGCCTACTTTGGAATTTCTTATCTTGTGAGCTCTCAGTTTTTTACTTCTCTCGTCTTTATCTATATATCAACCATTATGGCTGGTGCAGTTGGTGATTGTGAAGTTGGAGCTACAAGGAAAGCTTGTAAAAATTGCACTTGTGGGAGGGCGGAAGCTGAGCAGAAAGTAGAGAAGTTAGGTTTGACTGATGATCTTCAGAACAATCCTCAATCAGCTTGTGGCAGTGTACGTGTCATTATTGCTCGGTAGTTGATTCTCAGTAACATTTATGTTTATCAGTATATTATCATTATCTGGAGTTTATTTCTAGCAGAATAGAGTTATACTAGATAGATAGCGGTGTGCTTAGATTTTATTTTATTTTATTTTCCTTTTAAAAGTATATACGCAGGGGTCAACTTGTTCCTGCGTGATGCTGAAGTGTCCATCAAGTGTAGCCTCATAATGGATAACTTCCATTCTTGATATTTTAGTTATTATGCTACTTGACTCTAAAATTTACGCAATTTGCAGTGTGGGCTAGGTGATGCTTTTCGGTGTAGTACGTGTCCTTACAAGGGTCTTCCTCCATTCAAACTGGGAGAGAAGGTACATAGAGAAAACAAAATCACTCTCTCTCTCTCTTCCCTCCATCCCTCTTAACTTTTCGAAGTTGTAATACATTGGTTATGATCCTTGTGTGCAGGTATCGTTGTCCAGAAGCTTCCTTGCGGCAGACATATAGACACGGACACATAAGAAGAATCACTGCTTTTTTTTGTTATAGAGATGGGGTTTCAGATACTGCACAACGGCTAGTTATTTTGTCTGCATTGTCGGCCGCGGCTCTCATTATCCACTTTCTCCAAATAACAAGTCATTGATTCTGTTGTAGTTATTTATCTGACTCAACATGCTAAACTATATAGTTATTAGCTAGACTTTTGGGGGGTAAGTTTTCAGTGTGCTGCATAAAAAAGGAAAGAACAATTTGGAAAATTTGTTGCTTGACCATTCTGGAATCTGTTCTGTATGTCTGTTCATTCCATGCATATGTATATGCTTTGAGGGAAAAGGGGATTTGGTCGAGTGATGAAAAAGTTTGTTGGCTCATCAATATTTTGGCTGGTGACGTTTATTATTTTTAAGTTTTATTTTACTCGCCTTAGAACTCTTTAAGAGGCAGCAAAGATATTGTATCGGGTGTGTCATCCCCGATTCTACATGTCACACCCTCATTTTTAATAAGATTTTTTTATTACTAAAGTACGTATTAATAAAATTACTTGAGAACAATATTTAAAAAAAATACGTATTACATACACCACCTTTAAAAAATTATTGCCTTTTAAAAATTACTGTTCTTTTTTTTTTTTTTTTTTTTTTTTTTTTAAAGAAAGGAATTCTTGCTTTTTCATTATTGTTTTGCAATGTGATTGTCTCCTGACGGAAAGGTTAGAGTGGGCCATCCATTGTGGGCCGCCGTGGACGTCGGTGTCAGAAGTGTGGTGGTATGTTAGGATATTTTAGTTGAGTCTCACATTGTTAAAATATGGGTTTAGCATGTGGGTTTATAATCATTTGGCTACCCTCTCTCTACAAGTTAGCTTTTGAGGATGAGTTCTATCTAAAAGTTATAACAATTGGTATCAGAGCATGCCCCTCTTAGGCTCACGTTGCGAAAGGGGCGACCTGAGGAGGGGTGACCTGGAAAGGCCAGAGTGGGCCATCCAGAGTGGGCCGCTGTGGACGTCGGTGTCGAAAGCCTGGTGGTATGTTAGGATCCTGATTGAGTCCCACATTGTTAAAGTATGAGCTTAACATGTGAGTTTATAACCATTTGGGCACCATCTCCCTACAAGCTAACTTTAGGGATAGGTTCTACCTAAGAGTTATAACAATTGACGTGGATTTCGCAAAAGAAGAATAAGGTAACATTTAGTTTATGAATTTAGAATTATGATTTATGATTTTGATTTTTAAAATTTAATTTTTTTGTGAGAGAAAAATACTGTAGAGAATCATGAATTATGATTCAGAATCAGAGACGGATACATGAAACAAACATTTCCTAAATGAAAGGTTTTTGAAATAGTGTTGAACTTTTTATTTCATTATAGTCTCTCATGTACAAGGGCTATCTATCGATCTATATATAAGTATTTATTTTATATACAATTATCATTTACAGAGCTAATCCTTATATTGCTACTTAATTGCCACTTCTTAACTCTTTCTAGCATAAATCAATAATTGACATCGAGTAAAGAACTGGTTAATCAATATTGGTTTGCCATGCAACTCCTCATTGAGAAACTGAGCATATGATTGATCGTTTGTCGATTGTCACATCCTCCGAGGACCCTAGGAGGTTGTGCCTATTGCACCAAATAATTCACAATTCTCAAACGGATATTGAGAAATCAAAACAGGTCAATGCTTTTAGTTGCTAACGATAACACCAACATCGCTGATGGCCTCAAAACTTGCTTAAATGTGCTCAATGACCGCAGGCTTAACAGTGGGCCTTTGGTTGCCGGCATTCTTATAATGAAAATAGTAGAAAATATGTTAATATGAAAAGCTTAAGAAAGTATATAGGTTAATTTTTAGTTTTAAAAATTAATAGGTCATAATTTGTCAAGTTATGGTTCATAATCAGATAAGTTATGGATAAAAATCGTGAATTATGAACAATAATTTATCAAGTTATGGTTCATAACCAGACAAGTTATGGACAAAAATAGTAATTTGGCCTATTTATTAACCTATGTAAACTATTAGTCTATTAATTTTAATTGATCTTAAATCTTAACTTATTTTTTTCTTTCTCCCTTCTTATAATGCCTGACGGTGAACACTAGTTTATATTTGCTGTCCCTTTTGATTGTCCACTTAGTCGTCCTTCCAATACATATTTATCCTGTATTTTATGGGTGAAAATAGGTTAAATCATTTAATTTGTGTGGTAAATTTTTATTGGAAGGACAACCAAAAAGAGACAGCGGGTCTAAACTGAATTTTTAAGACGCGTTAAGAACTCGTTTCAAAATGATTTTATTTTTTTGTAAGAAAATGAAAATGAAAACGTTTTTAATCTCAAATAGAAATCATTTTTGAAAATGTGTTTGATAGTTTTATCAAGAGATTGTTTTCAGTGTAAAAAAACTCATTAATGTCTCTCTCTCTCTCTCTGCTTGAGAGAGGAGAAAACGAAAACAAAAAATGAAAAACGACTAAAAGTCATTTTTCATTTCTCTTTTATTTTACACTAAACTAAAAAATCATTTTTATTTTTATTTTTTGTCTTTATGGCGCTAAACGTCGTTTTGAAAACGTTTTCATTTTTTCTTTCTTGAAAAACGAAAAAAAAACGATATTTATTCTAAACACGGCCTTAGTGCCACAACGTAAGTGATTTAAAGAACAACAGGGAGTAAAGTTATATATATGTGTATGTATACAACTTCTCCGATATATAGTATTTAAAAGGTTATAATTTCAACGTATCTTTGGATGAAACTGAATGTGTATGCTAGCATGTTCCCAAGAGCATCACCAATGTTTCATCGCACATAATAAGCATGATGAAAATCTCATGTCCGTGACTACGGTCATTGAGCACATTTTGCCCGTTTCAAGGCCATCGGTGATGTTTGTGTTACCGTTGGCAGCTAAAGCGCGCTCACCTGTTTTTCAATCTTGGCTTGAGAATTTCAGTTATTTGGCGCGTATACGCGCAAACTCCTGGAGTCCTCGGAGAATGCGACGATCGACAAACAATGTTTGATCGGGGCTTAGTTTCTTGACGATCCTGTCGTGCGATCGGGGCTGAGACTGTCACAAGATCATCCACTGCGGATGTGTCATTTGCCGGATCCTTCCCCTGAAATATTATGTGGTGCATCCGGCTTAAGTTGATGCTTGTCACCCGTGTTTTTTCCCGCTAAAAGTGCCGCAGGTTTTTCCTCTGAAATATTATGCCATCAAACAAACATTCAATGAAGTATTCTAGTATGCTATATAATATTAAGAACTACAATCAATTAGGTGACACAAGAGGAGCAAAGTAGGTCTATGTAAGAACCATACTCCATATGATAATACAAGGGGGAAAAAAAAAGAAAAAGAAAAAGAAATATCAAAATGATTGAAATCGTTAAATGCTCGTTATATTGATGGAGAAATAAAAAATATATATATAAAAACCTGAGACACCTTGGGTTGAAACAATCTTTGATGCTCAATTTGACAAGAAAAATGATAAAATAATTAAATGAATTAGCTAAATTTTGTTTGCAGCTGAGCACTTTCGACCTACAATATATATAGAGAGGAGGAAATAATAATTCAATTATGAATATGTCTTTGGCATACGAAACTCCCTTGTCTAATGTCTTTATATCTAATAAATAGAGATTAATTTAACCAGCCTCGGATTCCTTCCAAGATTTTAGTTTAGTATTGACCGGTGATCATTATAAAGTGCAAAAGAAATATTAGTATTACTTTTTCTATCACTTTTTTTTGGCACATAGACTCCACTAATATGATATATTATTATTATAGGTTCCTCCGATAAATACAACAATATTGTTCTACTTTATATTCCCGTTTTGCCCCTTAGTCAAATATCAATTATGGCTAAGATGTGATCTGGAGTAGTTTGATTAAAGTCTTTACTCTTCAACATAGTTTAGAATCCAAGTAAAAATAGGTGCAAACATGTAGAAGCAAGCAAAACATTCTGATTTTATGCTGGAAGTTTTTAGTCATCTGTTATATGTGTTTGCATGATCTTTTTTTATGGCATTTGAGTTGATGCTTTTATACTCTCTCGTTCATATTATTTTCTCATCAATAAGTAAGAAAAAACCTCCCTAGGGAGAAATCGTGTTAGGACTAGCCTTTTAATCTAAATTTGAAATCCATATAGCAATTATGTTTGTTGTCACTGAAAGTCTATAATAGCGATGAGATATCACCTCTAAATTTTTCCTTACGTGAACCGAATTTGTATCGAAAAATTTCATATTAACAAACTTTAACAGTGATAAACTCATCTCTAAAAGTAGATTTACTGTTAAGTTATGCATCCCAATTATTATCTTGATTATACTGCTTTATGCAGAGGCAATACATCAAAATTTCATTAAGGATAGTTTGTGAAATTAAAACTTGTAAATTCGATTGCTCTAGCTGCCTCTTTGTTTTGGGTCATTTTTTTGGGGTCTTTTTATACATTTATTGATTTGTTTCTCATATTTGGTGGTGGTGCTGCTGCTGGTCTCAAAAGAATGACGCCTTGACTTTTTATTTTATTTTTATATCTTCTTTTTTCTTGCCATGAAGCAAGAGAACCTTCGAGGATATTGATTATCATTGATAAGTATTTGTATTGCATGGACCGTGTTAAAGATTTTCTAATTTAATTTTCAATAACACTTTATCGTTCTTTCCTACTGCTAAATTAACAAGACGTCATAAAATAATAATAAAAGGAGACTTCATTTAATCAGAAATGAAGCCTATTATTCAATGTTCATTGCATTATGGTGGGTTGTTGAAACTTGATCGATGTAAGCACTTCCCTCTCGTAAATGGATTGACCAAGTTTTCATGTTATAAGGAAACCCAGATTATTACTCTTCACCTAGACACACTTCACTATTCATTGTACAGTGCACGTTTTTTTTTCCCGTTTTATTACCCTTGCTCTCTCTTTTGTTCTTCCTCTTTTGTGTGGGGGTGTTTTTGTCTTTTCACTCCCATGTGGTGTGACTTTGCGTTTTTGCCTTTGCCTCCTTGCTTTTTTTGTCGTTTGGCTTCAATCCCATGTGTTTTTCCCGTCTCTTCTATTTTATTTTCCGCCAAAAGTTTGGCCTCCATTTTTGGCTTCTTTGTTTCTCTCAGTTCTTACCTGATCTTAGTCGTTTGACTATTTTCGGCGCAAGTTTCTTTTGCTTGTTTCTGCTCATTTTCTCCTATTTTCTCTCAGTTCTTACCAAGTTTCTCTCTCTCTCTCTCTCTCTCTCTCTCTATATATATATATATATATATATATATATATAAATATAACCCCGTTACTGTCTATTAATTGGTTGTGTGAATTGTCTC